GAGTTTTGCCTAGCTGGTCAACACCTGAGCCTTAAGCATACAATCCCACCCTCTCCATTTCTCCCCAGCCTCTCCTGGTTGGGGGGGGAGGGGAGGCAATGATGTCATGTCTCAGCTCCACGGGGCCCAACTGCCTTTGACCCAGGCCAGGGGTTGAAAATCCCTTTGATTAAATGACTCCCATGGAAGTTCAGCTAGAGAAAGAGGGCTTGCTTTTTAATGTGTCCCAAACATGTGTATCTCCCTCTCTCTCTTTCTCTCTCTCTCTCTCTCTCCCTCTCCCTCTTTCTCCATCCCTTCCCCTGCTCTTAAATGCTGCATCCCGTCCCTGGCTTCCCATTGGCTGCCAATGATGTAATTGTTTCAAAGACCGGCTGCGCTGCCATTGGTGGAGAGAGGCAGGGATGCTGCTGTTAGCTAAAACACACCCATACACACCAAGTCTCATTCACGCAGAGTTCATCAAGGCGGGCGACCAGACACATTTGATGTGTGCAAAGAAGATAGCTCTGTCCCCACCCCCACTCCAAGAACAGGTGGAGAGCCGAGGAGTTGGGGGGGGGGGCATGTCCCCGGCGTGTCGCTCCGGATAGGTGCGGCCCATGTCTGTGAGAATCCAGTTTGGGAAATAAAGCTTCGACCAATCTATTCGTAATCCACATCACCCACGACTGTTGGAGGTATCGGCACACAGAGGGATCCCAGCTGATCCCAGAGGTCCCAATGTTTAAAACGGGACCCCCATCCTGCAATTATGTGGGTGGGGCTCTGAGACCCCAATCTCTGACTGCAGAGAGGAAAGCGAGAGGATGCAAAAAAATAAAGAAAAAAGGATACATTGCTCAAATGGGAGCTCTACACTTAATCCTTGACTTACAACGGTCACTAAACGAACAGTTGCAAGCTAAAAGCGACTTGCAGCAGGTCCTCGTGCTTACGGCCATCCCAGCATCACACCCCACAGCTTACGTGACTGACATTTTGGGCGTTTGACATGTACTTGTGTCGGTGTCATTTGCGACTTCCGACAAGCCGAGTTGGAAAGTGGCTTGTTGAAGAAGGGGGGTGGGTGGGGGAAATGGCAAATATCCAGTTTTAAACCTGGTAAATATCAAACCGTCCACCTTTCAGGAGGACATAAAAAGTCGGAATAAAATTCTTCCCAAGCAAATCAGCATCTGAATTGCCTGATGAATAAAATGGAAGAAATCAAGGGGCTCCCAAGATCGAATCTGGATTGACTTCAAGGACAGCGGATGGTTAGATGTGGAGCAGATGAGCGGGAACGGCCTATTTTCCGATGTGATCAACGTGGGATGGCTATAAGCTTCCCAGAGAGAAATGCCAAGAATGGAAGAAAACGGGGGCTGAATCTGAACCCAGAATCCTTCACCACGGCATGACGAATGCCTGCGTGAAGAGAAGCAGCCAAAAACCTATTATCTCCTATTTCTCTAACCTCAAAGACGGTTTGCGTGAATACCTGAGATTGTACCTATTCTCCTAAATAAAACATCAACCAGATTTGTAGGTTGTGAAACCTTCTCCTGCTGAGATTCCAACCTTCTCCTGCTGAGATTCTAAGCCAAGAAGCCAAAAAAGTAGCAAAATAATGAAAATATTATCGGTGGTAACCCAGTTCCTTTCCACTGTCAGCAAAAGAATAATCCGGGAGAAATTTGATTTATCTCTTCCCTGCCACACCTTCATTGATTCCTTCTTTTCTGAGCTTGTCCATCAGAAAGGTCAGCAGTTCGGCGGTTCGAATCTCTAGTGCCATGTAAACAGAGTGAGCTCCCATTACTTGTCCCAGCTTCTGCCAACCTAGCAGTTCGAAAGCAGGTCAAAAATTCAAGTAGAAAAATAGGAACCACCTTTGGCGGGAAGGGAACAGCATTCCGTGCGCCTTCAAGCATTGAGTCATGCCGGCCACATGACCACGGAGACATCTTAGGACAGCGCTGGCTCTTCAGCTTTGAAACGGAGATGAGCACCGCCCCCTAGAGTCGAGAACGACTAGCACATATGTGCGAGGGGAACCTTTACCTTTTAATACTTCAAGGGGAGATTGACAAACAAAATTCCCAAACCTTAGAACCGGGGGGGGGGGGAACAAACCCAGAAGAAGAGGTTTCCATAACTATTTCCAAGGAGATGCATCCATGCAAACCCTTAACTCAGTGGAAACTCCACGGAGGTTGAGCCAAACCATCTTCTTCAAGTCCTCCAAATCTCCAGCAAACTCTCTTAATTTCCCAACTTAGCTGGTTTTATAAAACACATTTAAGCACCACGGACAGTTCCAATGGGCTCCCTTCAACTGCCCCCATCCTGCTTTTGACGGCCCCTCCTAGTTAAACCAGGTTTATTTGCTCCTTTCAGTAATCTCCCCTTTTAAAAAATCTGGATGGTATCATGCCGGCTAATTCCCACTCGGCTACTTTCACACATTGGCCTAGCATGACTAAGAAAACGCCAAAGTCAGGAAAGAAGTGGGTGTAGAAAATCATTTCCCTCCTTGCTGTTGATTGCAACCTTAAATGAT